CTGCACGTAATCCATTAGATAATAGTGATATTAAGATTCTAATAGAATGCTTTAGACAAGATCTCAAAGATTGTTATAAATCATTAGCTACAAAAATTCGTGAAACAAATGCTTATGAGGTTGTTTTATTGGATGAATATTTGCCACAAAATAAATATGAACGATATAATTTTATTCAAAATTTACAGTTAGATTCAACAATTATGCTTTATCGATATTATCATAGTAACTATCTTGGAACTTTAAATTTTATATGGTGCATTCCTTTGGATCCCAATGAAAGATCAGATAATTTACAAGCAAAAATAATAATTGAAATTCAAGAAAAACTTCCTCATTATTTTACTCGTGGAATGAGAAAAAATATATTTGAAAGGGTATTTTTTTAATTATATAATTTTTAAATGAACTAAAATTATTTTAATATTAAAGTTATTTATATTTTATAGTACTCACTTTTAACACGAATTACACTGAATGTTTTGCGTTTATTGTATTATGATTTAACTGGTGATTCTAGTGTTGGTGTAACAGAAAAAGTAAGGCAAATGGATGAGCGACTTAGGCTTATGTTGGAATTAGGTGATCCAGAAATTATTGTAGACCTTCGAACCAATAATGGATTTAAAGGCACAAAGTTTGATATATTTTGGGATGAAGTTTCTGCATACTTTGAAGAGGTTAACCATTATATATTATTTATTATTTATAATATTATAAAATAAATTTAACTAATTTAATATTTATCTGTTATATTTCTTAGAATATACCAGCAGTTCAAGATAGACGTCATGAATCTATACTATATATGCCACTTTTTATATCAGTTCGAGACTTAAAAGATATTATAGTTTCGAGACTAAATCAAAAAAAAAATGAAAAAATAATTGAAGATTTTTTAGTTCCTTCTGAACAATGGATTGCTTTGCAATTTTATCCAAAAAATCCATGGATTAAATCTAGTATAAATTATGTTGGACGATTTGAAATTAAATACAAGGTTCAAGCAAGACAACTTAGAAAATCACATCCAGATGCACATTATTGTCGTGCAATATTTAAATATTTTCGTCATTTTGCAGTAAAATTTAAAGAACATACTGCATTAATATTTGCTGATGATAAGCATAAAGTACCTATTGGTGAAGATGTTGCAACATCAACTGGAGTACGAAATAAAAGTGTAGCTATCCCAATTTCAGCTATATTAAATGCAAGTGATCATGACTTTACAAAGTTATCATTAACACCATCAGTAATGTTATTAGCTACAATACCTGAAGAACCTACAGATTCATTTTATAATGGCCAAGTTTTTGTAGCATATAAAGATACAGTTTTTCAACCTAGTTCAGCTCTTCGACATAGTACAGAATTTTATAATAATTTAAATTCTTTTTATGATGAGTTCTTGCCTGAAATTCTAATGATTTACACAGATGGTGGTCCAGATCATAAATGCACATTTGGTTCAGTTCGAATTTCTTTAATATGTCTTTTCCTTAAGGGTAATTTTGATATGTTAATAGCTGCTAGAACTGCACCATATCATAGTTGGGCAAATCCAGCAGAGAGAATTATGTCAATTATTAATCTTGCATTGCAAGATGTAGCTTTACAACGTGATCAAATGAGTGAAGAATCTGAATTAGTATTTGCACAACTTAAAACTTTAGAATCAATTCGTGAAAAAGCAAAAAATAATTTAAAATTAAAAATAGAATTATCTGTATCAATTAAAGGTATTCAAAAAATTTTAAATGAAAGAACAACACGATTAAAACTCCATGATGATTACTTTTTAGTTGGTCAAACTGCTACAAATTTAGAAATTGAGCAATTTTTTAAGGTAATTTAATGCTATATTTGAGTACTGTTAAGGAAAAACCTGTTATCAGGCTTTCAATTATATTTTGTACTGATATTATTTCTAATAAATTAGACTGGTTATATCCAGTACAAAATATATTAAAAGCTTAATGACAGATTTTCTCTTGATGGTACTCATTTGTTACAATTTAATAACAAATTATTCATAACTAAATTGTATATATATTTTAGACCATTCATATAATTGATCCAAGTCTTAAACAAACAATGACTACATCGAATGCTTTAAAAAAACAACAATTTTATAATGATTTTTTAAAATCTCATTGTCAAATTCGAACTTATACATTTCAAATTAAAAAATGTACAAGCCAAGAATGTCAAATATGTCAACCAATTCGAATGCCACATGATCAATTTGAATTATTATCTTTTTTTACCTGATCCTGAAATTTCTGCAGGTAAAATTTTATAATAAACTTTTAAATTTCGGCATTCTTTTTTGTACATCATTTTCGTGTAACCTTATGTACATCAGATCTTGTCAGCCAATGAAATCGCAAGAT